TTTTTGCAGAAGGTACTGTTACATCAAGTGCATCTGTGTAACCTGGTTAAAATTGTAATCTTTTTTGAAATAAACCTTCATATTCTGTAAAAAAAAAAAAAAAAGAAAGAAAGTGAGTGTAATGGTACATGCTTTTGAATGTCTAGGACATGGTAACTACAGTTTGTATACTTAAACACTAAAGATTTTCAACTGATAAAACTTGTTTTTTTTAATTTTTATTTATTTGGTTTTTTTTTTGAGAGATGGCTTCATTATGTGGCCCAGCTGCCTTGAACGGGCCATCCTCCTACCTCAGCCTCCTCAATGCTGGGGCTACAGATGTGAGCCACGGTGTACACAAATTGAAAATTTAGGGCTGAGGGTGTAGATCAGCCACAGAAACTGTGATCATTGTGTTAAGACATGGATATAATCTCAGCTCAAAGAGAAAAAAAAATTAATTTCTCCAATTATCTCTTAAGGCCTCAGAGCTCAATGTATATATACAGAAGTCCACTCTAGGGGACAAATTTTGTATTCTTCTACCCTCAGAATCTTTTTCTACTTTTCTTCTTTTCTAATGGCTTAATTACGATAAACCCTGTCTCACCTGTATACCTGTACACGTTTTTCTGGAAAGTGTTAAAGTACAACAGGGGTTGATGCACCCAACAGGTATGAGGGCTTTCACCACTAATAAGACCATGAACTCCATAATATAGTGCACCTGAGGGCCTCATCTCTATGATATTCTTGGGTAAAAAAAATTGCATACTTTAGTTCAACAATGAGAAAACATAGACAAAACCAAAGGGAGGGACTGGACACAATAGCTGATCAACACACTATGTTTTGTTTCTAATTTTTGAGACAGTGTCTCGCTTCGTACTTCAGGCCGGCCTTGAACTCACCATGTAGCCCAGGCTGGCCTCAAATTTGAGGTGATCCTCCTGCCTCAGCCTCCCAAGTGCTAGGATTAGAAGCATGCGCTACCATGGCCAGATCACACTTTTTAACTTTTTTGTTTTTTCTTTTTGTGGTACCAGGGATTGAACCTGAGGCCTTCATGCTGAGCTATATCCATTTTTATTTTGAGCCTGGGTCTATGTCATTAAATGGCCCAGGCTGAGCTGGAGTTTGGGATCCTCCTGCCTCAGCCTCCCAAGTGCTGGGATTACAGGCATGAGGAACACCCCCCAGCTTTGCCTTCTTTTTCTGGAGTGTGTTCCCATTCCAGGCAGCACAGTGCGATGTTCCTTGCATGCACTCACAGCAGAATCTCAAGTTGGTCTAGGACAGTGCTTCCCCCAGGTAGAGCCCAGAGAAGATCTCTCTTCCTTCCCTGAGCTGTTTGGCCCTCACCTGCCTCTAACCCTTAGCGTTTTCCTGGGCTGGGAGGTTTCCTAGTGACAGCAGGGACCAGGGCAGCCCTCAAAACATTCTCCTCTGCTCCTAGGGAACAGGGAGCTCCTTCCTGGTCCTCAGCCCCAGCTGTACATCCCGAGGAGCTGCACCACCCCTCCTGGAGCCCTCAGCTCTGACTCCTTCCCACGCAGCACCCCAGACCGAAGCCACCCCAGCTCTTCTCCCAGGTGACAACCACTGACCTTCACAGCTCTCTGCTCTGGAATCCTCTCAATTTCAATCATGTTGCGGTCACAGAGCTGCCAGCAGTTAGGGGACAGGATGACATCGTTCATCTGCGCCATGTTCTGTGCATTGCGCACGTCCTCCACTGCCTGACCAGTCACCAGGAAGTAGTTGTGCCTTTCGTCCCCAAAGACTACCATGGTGATGTGGCCAGCAGACAGCCCTGGTGAGGAGGCAGGTGACAGATGGGTTGGCTCTGGAGTTCTGGGTTGCAGCCCAGGGACTCAGGAGCATGGTATGAATCCCACAGTAAAATCCCTCTCCTACACTTCAGTGTCAGAGCTGGGTGTGAGCCACATGCTTGCAATCCTGGCACTTGGAGGCTGAGGCAGGAGGATGGCTGTGAATTGAGGCTAGCCTGGGCTACAAAGTGAGTCCAAGTCTTGCCTAAACTATACAGTGAGACGGTGTCTAAAAAAACCCCAAACCTAAGGGTCTTCCAGACAGCTCAGCAGATTAAAGCACCTGCTTAGGCAGACACAGGGGCTGGGGTTTCCATCCCCAGCTTGCCTTGCTGCGCTTTGGGCATGGTGGCATAATCCTGGCTCTTGGGAGGCTGAAAATAGGAGGATCACTGAGTCTGATCTGTTTAGTGAGACCCTGTAAACCCTGTACTAAATACATTTTTTTTTAAAAAAAAAAAATCCCACTTTAATAGAAGAATAAGAGAACATTGCTTCCTGGTTCCTGGCCTTCTGAAATAGAAAATGCCCATTTCTTCAAGGGCTAGAAAGTTCAGCCAATACTTTTTGTGTTTCTGGTATAACTTTCTCCCTTGATAACCCTATTAATTCTCAAAATAATTTTTATTTTGTCTTCAGTTATCAATACTATAGAACAAAAAATTTACTTATTTGTTATTTATTTTGCAATGCTGAGAAATGGACCTAGAACTTTTGTACTGAGCTACATCCTCAGCACCTACCCCTTTGTATTTAATTTTGTTGTTTTTTGAGACCAAGTGTCATGGTGTAGTTCTAGCTGGCCTTGCACTGGGGGTGATTCTCCTGCTTCAGCCTCCCACACACTTGGACTACAGTTTTACACCACCATGCCCTGCTTCCCTGCCCTTTCTGGTTAGTTAGTTATTTAAATTTTTGAGACAGGTCCTTGCTAAATCACTAAGTTGCCCATCCTGGGATCCTTGTGCTAGCCTCCTGCTTCAGCCTCCCACACACCACCACATCAGATGGAAAACAACCTCACATTCCTGTTTGGGGAGGATTTCCTTGCATCAGAAGTTGAGATTTCACCTGGAAAAGAAGTGCTGTGGTCTCATTTCTGGTAACAAGGTGACGGTGTGAGGGAAAAGAAGTCCCAGGTCCCGTCCCACAGTGCTTTCTCTAAGTGTTTTCAAGCTGGGAAACAGAGGTCTTGGTGCTTGAGCAAAGGATGACAGATGTGAAATATGACACGGGCTCCAAGTCTATTCATAAAGGTACTTTGAGCGACATGCATCTTCTTTCAGTGACTGCAAGGAATGCAGTCAAAGTCTATCTTCCACCTCGTCCCTCTGCTGTGATGTCTACCTTTGGATCATGTCCAGAGACTTTTCTGAGACAGAGATTAAGGGCAGAGGACTAATTAATCTGACAGAAGGAGTTTCAAGGCAGTTGAATGTTGAGGTGGTGGCAAGTCTATTGTTGGGTGCTTTTAGGCAGATTTATGTTGAGAATCAAGAGCAAAGAGCCCAGCAGAACAATTTAAAACACTGTTTGTTTGGCCAGAAAAGTCCAGTAAAGTTGTGGACTGCAAGGATGAAACAGAGGAGAAATTGGTCACTAAAAAGATTATTTTAAAAAGTATTTCACAAGAAGACAGCAATGACACAACAACAATGCATGGCCTGAGGACATCACAAGAACCAGCAGGACTCAAGCCTTTGAAGCTTCAGAGTTGCAAAGGTGAAAGACTTTGCTTTGAGAAGAGAGCCCCACAGCACCACGTGACAGAATGGTGGCAGCCTAGAGAACTTGTTCTTTGGGATTGCTTACAGAATGCTCTGCAATCCAGGCACTCCACCCCTGCGGCCAAGAGAGGGAGGCCTGGCTACTGCTCCAGCTGCTAGTAGGCCTCAGCGTCATCCCTATGGTGCTAGCTTTAGGTACATGCAGAAATCAAGAGTTGTGGGGTCAGATAGGCTTCCACCAGATTTCAGAAGGAGGCCAGGTAGTGTCTCTGAGAGGGCAGTGTGTTAAGTTGTGAGTGTGAAGCTAAAGGTGCAGCAGAGACCCCAGAAGTTTGGAGAAGCCAGGTAAGTGGATTGTCTGAGGAAAACTATAAAGAGGGAGCAGATCTGGCCCTAGAGAAAAGCCATGGGAGCTACAGCCTCCAGCAGTGGTATAGGGAAAGAGCCACAAAAGTCCTTCGGAGCTCACAATTGGAGGTGCAGTAGATGCCCATCTGCCATGCTACACCCTGCCCTGGAGCCAGCCAGTGGTGGACTGAAATCTCTGCACACTGTGAGCTCAGTGAGCCCTTCTCCTCTAACTTTGGGGGTTGGGAATTTTGTCTCTGCATGAGAAGAAGTAACTAAGACAGGACTGTAGATCAATGAAAATGCAGTAATGTCTCCAGTGCAATGTGGATGTGTGTGTGCTTGCTTCCATATTATACATATGTGCCTGAGAAGCCCTGAGTAAAGCTGCAGCTGGGTCATAAACTTATGCTAAGTTTTTCTTGTTTTCATTTTCAAGTTAGGAAATGGAGGTCTTGGTGCCCGAGTGACAGATGACGATGTGAAATACGACACGTACACAAAGTCTATTCATAAAGGTACTGTGAGTGACAGTACCCATGGCTTTTCTCTGGGGCCAGATCTGCTCCCTCTTTATAGTTTTCCTCAAACAGTCCACCTACCTGGCTTCTCCAAACTTCTGGAGTCTCACTGATTTCTTAAAGGTAGTAAAATAATTCATTTCTTAGTAGGGTAGAAATAGGTTCAGGAGAACAGCAATTCAGAAAGTAGGTTTCCTTTTTTTTTTTTTTTTTTTTTCAGACAGGGTCCCAAAATGTAGTTCAGTCTGGCCTTGAACTCACTGTGTAGCCCAGGTTGGCCTCAAACTCATGACAGTCCTCCTGGCTCAGCCTCCAGATTACAGGTGTGCACACCACTCCTGGCTTCCTTATCCTCATCCTCATCCTCATCCTCATCCTCATCCTCATCCTCATTCTCATCCTCATTCTCATCCTCTGTCTCTTGCTCTTGCTCTCGCTCTCTCCGTCTCTCTCACTCTCACTCTCCCTCCTTTTTTCCCTCCCTCCCTTCATTCCTCCCATCCTTCTCCTCTTTTCTTTCTTCCTTTGTAGTACTAGGGGGATCTTACTTTGTAGTACAGGGGTGCTCTACCACTAGGCTCCATCTCTAGCTCTTTTTACTTTGTATTTTGAGGCAGAATCTCACTAAGTTATACAGGTAGAATTCAAATTTGAGATTCTCCTGCCTTAGCCCCCCTCAGTGCTATGATGGTAGGCATGTGCCACTATACCTGGCCTGTTAGGTTTTTCTTGCATTCACTCTTCTGAAGCAGAATGGACTAGGCTCCTGTCATTGCCCAACCTGGATAATGATGATCTGCTCTCTAGTGTCCTGAATGCTTCCCAACCTTGACAAGTAGCATGGTGTAACAGCAGCAATGACAGGTGTAATAAAGGCCCTTTTGTTCAATGGTTGCTATTTACCAAGTACTCTTTGAGCTAACTTACCTTCCATCAAGGCCTATTAGGTAGCTATCATAGGTTTTTTTAAAAAAATTAATTTTATTTATTTATTTGTGTGTGTGTGTGTGTGGGGGGCAGCTCAGTCCACCAGGGGGTGGGGCGGGCTGGCATGTGGTGCTGGGGGATTAAACCGTGGTCCCTGTGCTTTGCTAAGCTTGTTCTAAGTGGGTGCTTTAGACCACTGGGCCATCTCACCAGCCCAGCTATCATAGTTAATCCGGTCCTCTTACCCACTGTGTGAGCAAGCTGCTGTAGGTGTCCTGGTCACCCTGACTCAAAGGTTAGGGTGACCCACGCTGTGGCAACATCTGTCCTACCAAATCCATACCTATCTTCACCCGAATATCCAGGCCTTCTTCTTCTTCCAGCTCCTTGTTTATAAAGAGGCTGTGGATCTCCAGGCTACATTTGACGACCACAGTGATGATGTTGTTCAGTTGCTTCCGTTCTACCTTCCATAGGGCTAGCAACGCATCACCTTGGAAAGACAGACACCCAGGGGCCTTGCACCTACCTCAGCTCCAGTGCAGGCTGAACAGAAGTTCACACCCCATGACCCTGTCTTCAGCCCATCTGCTAACCCTTCATACCCCCGCTCACACCAGTCAGTGTACCTGCAAATTTTAGGATGTCTCCTCCAAACAGCAACACTTCTGAGGAGAAAAAGAGAATATGTTAAATCAAGGTATAATTCCCTTTTTTTAAAATTCATTTTTGTAATACTGGGGATTGAGCCCAGGGCCTTTGCACTGAGCTAATCCTAAACCCTTTTAAATTTTATTTTGAAATGGGAGGAAGGGTTGCTAAGTCACTAAATTGTCCAGGTTGTTCCTGCACTTGCAATCCTCCTGCCCCAACTTTCCAGAGTGCTGGGACTACGGAGGTGCACTTCCATGCCCAGCTAACACTGATTTCTTAAAGGCAGTAAAATAATTCATTTTTTAGTAAGGCAGAAACAAATTCAGCAGCAGCAGACAAAGGACTGAGAAATTAATTTTAAAGCACTTTTATTTGGTCCTACAGCAATCTCTTCATGACTATGTTTGGGTACACAGATGTTAGGTTTTAAAAAAATTTGAGTATATTAACTATGACTAAACAGATTGGAACAAGACGAGGATGTGCACTGACACCACTCTTCTTCAATATAGTTCTGGAAACATTAGCTGGAACAGTTAGACAAGAGTTAGACAAGAGAAAGAAAAGGAATCAAGATACAAAACAACAAGGTTAAATTATTATTACATAGAAGACCCCAAAACTCCTAAATTTAATAAGAAAACTCAGTTACATAGCTGGGTACAGAGTCAACAGTCAAAATCAATAACATTTTCATATACAAACAACAAACTCACTGAGAGAAAAATTAGGGAAACAACACCTTTCACAATAGCACCTCCCCCCCCCCAAAAAAAAGGGAAAAGAAAACCTAGAAATTAATTTAATAAAGGGAATGAAAGATCTCTACACTGGAAACTACAGTACTCTGAAAAAGGATTGAAGAGGATCTCAGAAAATTGAAAGATTTACCTTGTTCTTTGGTAAGAAGAACTAATATAGTGAAAATGGCCATACTTCCAAAATTGTTATACAGATATACTGTATAATAATAAAAGTTCTAACTGCATATCTTTCGGAATGAAAGAAAGCAATCTTAAAATTTATTTAGAAATAGAAGAGACCTAGAATAACAAAAGCAATTCTGGGCAACAAAGGCAAAATGAGCATCATAATCCCTAACTTGAAATTATACTACAAAGCTACTGTGACAAAAACAGCATGGTACTGGCAAAGAAAGAGCAACGGCTCAGTGGAATGGATTAGAAGACGCATAACAAACTCCAGACATACTCACACATTTCATCTTCAACAAAGGAGCCAAACACCTTCACTGAAGAAAGGTAGTCTTTTTAATAAATGGTGCTGGCCTTCCGAGAGCTAAAGATTAAAACTGGACACACACCTTTCACCATACATTAAACTAAAATCACATATATATAAATATTAAAACAGAAACATTAAATCTTCTGGAAGATAGAATAGGTAGAACTCTTGAAGACATTGGTATAGGCAAGACTTTATGAACAAAACCCCAATCTCACAGGAACTATAACAAATAACAGCTAGGATCTCATTTTATTAAAAAAGCTTTTGCACAGCAAGAGAAATGTCCAACAGAGTAAAAAGACAAGCTACAGCATCAGAAATATTTTCTTGCTGTTCCGGATACAAAGGACTAATATCTTGAATATGTAATCCAAAAAATCAGATCCCCCAAATTTAAAGACCCAACCCAAAAATGTGCATCAAAAAGAATAGACAATTCTCAGATGAAGAAGCAGAAATAGCAAATAAATATAAAAAAGATCATTACTTGTCATTCAAAAAATGCAAACTAAACCACACTGAGATTCCATCTCAACCATGAAAAGACTGCTCTTATCACTAAATCAACCAATAACAAATTCTGGCAAGCCCGTGGAGGAAAAGAAACCCTTCTCCACTATTGGTGGGAGTGTAAGCTGGTTCAACTACTCTGAAAATCAGTAGGGAGATTCCTCAGAAAAGTAGGACTAGGGGGCTGGGGAGATAGCTCAGCGGTCTAAGCACCTACCTAGCAAGCACAGGGATCCAGGTTTGATCCCCAGTTCTGCATGTCATGCTGGTCCCACAAGCCTGGGCACACTGAGCCAGCCACTGAAACCGGGTGTGGTAGTGCACACCTGTAATTCCAGCACTGGGGAGGCTGAGACAGGAGGCTCATTAGGAGTCCAAGCTACATAGAAAGACCCAGTACTAAATAAATAAATAAATAAATAAATAGATAGATAAATAAATAGGACTAGAGGTCCCATTGGACCCAGATATTTTCCTTCTTGGTAAGTTCCTGAAAGAATCAAAAGCATCATATCACAACATCAGTGTGTATATCAGCAAAGTCTATAATAATGAAATCTTGGAAACAGCCTAAATGCTAGTCAACTGATGGATAAAGATGTGTCTGGTTTTTTTTAATAAATGGAGTGCTACTCAGCCATGAAGGAGGATAAACTTGAGACATTTCTAGGTATATGGATGTACCTTGGGACCATATTCTTAAGTGAAATAAATCAGAAGCAAATGTAAATACTGCATTCTCTGATATAAACCACAAATGTAGATAAAGACCAAAAATGTATAATAGATATTGTGAAATAGGAAGAAAATGTTCAAATAGGAAGGGGAATAAGGAGCCAGGAGGTAGAAAAGAAGGAAGGGAAAAGAAAAAACAAGAAAAGGAGGAAAAACGGAAACAAAGCTTTTATAAATAAAGGGGAAGAGGAATTGAAGGGAGGGAAGGGAGTGAGAAAAGAGAATCAAGGTATATCATGTACAGGTACGAATCCCTATGATGATGTGGTTATGATGTGCACCTAAAATGTACCAAAACACTTAATTCATTTACAAAAAGCACTTCAGAGGCTGAATAAGGAGAACTGCAAATTTAATTCCTGCCTGGGCAATTCAGTGAGACTTCTTTTCAATAAATAAAAGAGAGGGTCAGGGAGATAGCTCAGTGGTATAAGTACCTGCCTGGCAAGAGCAAGGCCCTGAGTTCGGTCCCTGGTACCCAAAAAACAAAACAAGATGAAGAATAAAAGAGGGCATGTAGCTTAGTGGGAAGGCCCTGGGTTCAATCACCAGTGTTGCAAAGTAAGTACATGAATAAATTGTTTCCCTCAAGAGGTCTGTATTGGTGAGTGTTGAACTGATCCTTTGCAGTTGTACCACAGGGTATCTCAGAACACAGTGGCTTCACCCACATTTCCTGAGAAAAGCAAGAATGCCAAGAAACGGTGGCTGGTTGTGAAAAACAGGCACAGGATGCACGGGGCTGGGCGCCCTGCAGCTGGACGCTGTGGGCACACTCACTCTCCACGATGGCGCTTATGTAGTGGTTCAGGATGTCCACCAGCTGCTCGGCCCCCCGGTCCATGTACATGGCCGTACTGAACTTCTCCGTCATCGCGGTGAAACCTAAACAAAGAGTTGTTGTCTGGGTTGCTGGGAGGGACCAAGCGGAGCTCCAAGAAGGGTACACTGCCACTTTCTCTTTTTTCTCTCCCTCTTTCCTTTCTCCCTTTCTCCCTCCCTCCTTTCCTTCTTCTCCTTCTTTCTCAGCACTGGGGCCTTGAACCCAGGGTCTTTACACTGAGCTACATTCCCAGTCTCCTCTCCATTTTGAAACAAAGTCTCACTAAGTCACTAAGTTGCCCACCTTGGTCTTCAACCTGTGATCTTCTGCCTCAGCCTTTGAAAGTGCTGGTATTACAGGCATGCACTATTGTGCCTGGTCTTGTGCCTCACCTTAATAGTAAACATGCCAGGTCTTTAGAAGAGTTCAAGTGTGTGTGTGTGTTTTCATTACTGTGGGATACAAATTCTAGTAACAATTCAAGGTGTTGCAGCCACTACTGATATTGAGTGTCTACGGGAAGAGCTATTTGGAACCTTTTCCTGACCTCTAATAAAATCAACACTGAGAAGGAGCTGTGTGTCTGCCACCTGACCAGTCACAAAGCTGATTGTTACCAAGCTCTCAGCCAGGCAGGCTGATGCACTTTGGGACCTAAGGCAGGAGCCTCATGCGTAGGCAGGGCCCTGTCTCAACATTAGAAGAAGACTTGGAAATATTATCTCAGTGGAAGAGCATCGTTGAGCTGTTCAGTCTCCAGCAACACACACATACACACGCACGCACGCACGCATGCACACACACACGTAAGGCTCTAGGGAGATCACTTGCTGAGGCCAGGGTTTTGTTTCTGCCTGTGGCACTGGGAACTGAACCCCAAGAGTTCTGAGGTACAACTTTAGTTCTTTTTAAAATTTTATTGTGAGACAGGGTTCTGCCTTCATCTCCACAGCAGTACATGTTACAGGCATGTGTCACTGCACTGGGCTGAGCCCAGTTTTCTCAGGGATGTGAGAAGTTGGGGCAGGAACCCCGGAGCCTCAAGCTGTGAGCATCTTAAAGATCTCCCCAGGACTGGGAGCTGGGGAAGGGAATGTGAGGGACACCCGGCCACAGAGCTGGCTCCTGGCTGCGGTCACAGGCTAGGCACTTGCCAACCAGCCTGCCCTCAGGTCTTCAGGTGAACCTGGATGCGAGCCTATCTCCTACATTAACCAGACATCTTTTCGGCACTTACCTGAAATATCAACGAACATCAGGACTCCATCAAAATAATCCACGGAAGGTCGCTCTGGAGAGAAATTCCCATAGACAATGAGGTCCGGTAAGTGAGCGGCTATTCTGACGATGGTGTTGTCCTGCGAGTCTTTCTGACTGGTCATGCTCAAGGCAAATGTCTAGAAACTCTTCGTGACAGGAAGCACTGCCCCAGGAGGTCTTCTAGAAAGAAAATCTGGGAATGGAGGATACCTGATATATTTGTTCACACACTTTCCTATTTATTTTTTCAGCACCAGTCTTGTTGCAACCTGTGACTGCTTATTTAGGTGACTGGTGGTAACGTTGCCAGAGCTGGTGAGTCACGCTTCAAAAAGAAACCTTTCCCCAATTATTTTTTTCTTCATTTCTGGGGATTGAGCCCAGGGCCTTTAATCTGAGCTACATCTCCCTCCCCTTTTTAAAATAAATTTTGGAAATAGTGTCTCACCAAGTCTCTAAATCGCCCAGGCTGAGCTTGAACTCTGTGATCCTCCTCTCAGCATCCAAGTGCTGGGATTACAGGCGTGTGCCACCGAGCCCCATTGCCAGAGATATGTGCGTGAAGATTGAGGCATTTTTTTTTTTTTCAAGGCATTTTTATGAAGGGATAGCCTTCGCTGCAGGCCTGGTGTAGTGGCTGTGGTGGTTCACCTCTGTTGTCAGCTTGAAGGGATGAGGAGATGCCAAGGGGGGGTGGTGGTGCTAAGGGTGCGGACTTCCTCAGTGAACTGCCCACTGAGGAGCGCAGAGCTGGGCGTGCTCTCGGGAGGTCACTTGGGCATGGCTTTGATGAGCGTCTCTTCTCCAGCTCCTTATTTCTCTCTCTCTTCTTCCCAGCTCCACCAGGTGAGTGCCTTGTCTCCACCACGACATGCCTGCCTTGGAGCCAGCCCACCAGCCACTGAGACCTCTGAAGCCCCAGGCCAAGTACACTCTCTGCCTTTTGGCTTTGTTGTGGATTCTGTCCCAGAGACAGAAATCTGACTGGCATAGTGAGCTAGTAACCCCCTCACACTAAGCTCCTCCTCCTGCTGTATTCTTGTTTCCTGTCTACCCCAAACTTCCACCTTTTGGTCTCTTGCATTTTATCTCTTCTTTTTGAAACTTCAGTATAGTTATGAGTTTGTGTGTGTATATATAACCATGTATGAATAGCCAAGTCCTATATGTAGGCAATGAACTATATTAAGGTATAATGTCAAACACAGTGAGGCAGAGGATTCCTAGGGTGCGTGTGTCTGCAGGGCGTGGTGAGCACGGGCTGGCTTCCCTGCATTCACAGCATGAATAGACTCCTGGGGTTTGTCCTACAGTAGAGCATGTACTTCTGGATTTTAAAAGAGGAGGCCACATGGGAATTCCAGAAAACATGGACTGGCGCATAGGTGTCACTCAAGGAGTCCTGCTTCCTTAGCAAGTAAGTCCAAAATCTCAGTAGCTTGAAACAATAAAGGCTCGTTGTTCGTTGTTGTTCATTTTTTGCTTCTATACATATCCAGTGTAGGTGGGCTGGGGTTCTCTGCTCACTTCAGGACTGAAGCTGGGACACTGTGGTGGCCAAAGCAGTGGGAAAGAGGATGCAATGGGATAGTTACTCTCCAGTAGAGACACGCTTCACTTCAGCATTGATCTGAGCAGGTTCCACTGACACTTCTAATTTCAGTAGGGTGCAGAAGTGCAATCCCACCATCCACAGAGGAATGGATAAAGGAAATGTGACGCACACATGCACCAGAACGCTCTTCAGCCTTGGAAGAGAAACTACAGGACATTATATTACGTGGACTAAGATGGGCACAGAAAGATAAATGCGACCTGATCTCACTGAGATGTGGAATCTGAACATGGTACAACCAGAGGCAGAAAGAGGACTGGCAGCTGCTGAACTCTGGCGTGGAGTTGGGGAGATGGGGTGACGTTGGATGAGCGGTGCCAAGCCTTAGTAAGATGAACACATGCCGAAGCTCTGAAGTCTGACAATGGTGAGTAGGTAATTGTGTACCGCACACTTAAAAATTGCTGAATACTAAATGTTCTTATCCCAAAAGAGTGCTAAATATGTAAGGTGATGGCTCTATTAATCAGCTTGATTTAATCATTTCACAACATATACACGTATCAAAATATATTCTATGCCACAAATATGTACAATATTGTTAATTTTATCTTCATAAAACTTGGAGAGTGGGAATAAACTTTAAAAAAAAAATTGGAGGGAGAGTTAATGTATTGAATGGCAGAACTACGAACTTTCCCCTCAGTACTGGGAGGGAGGGTTGAACCCATAGCCTTCACACTAAAGTACATCCCCAACCCTTTTTTAGATTTTTGAGACAGGGTCTCATTAAGTTGCTTTGTGACTCAAGCTTGTGCTGTACTTGTGCGCTATTATGCACGGCTCAGAACCACGATCTGAAAATGTCTTTGGTACAGGGACTGATACACACTAAGCATATGTGCTCCTACTAAGCTATGCTTCCAGGTTTAATGCACCTTAATCAACTGAAATAAAAATAAAATTCAGAATAAAAGTACAATGTGGTATTGAGAATTTTTAACAAAATCAAATGGTCTGAATAATTAGATTTATTGAAAATTAATCTGATTAAAAATGTTATTGAAGCAGAATATAAAACAGAAAAATGCAGAAATCCTTGGCATTACTATCAGATGGACAAACCCATGTGCTACTTCCTCATATCAAGAAGGGGCAGGGCCAGCACCCGGAAGTTCTGTTCATGTATTTCCTGGTCACTAGCCTGCTTCTCTCCCAAAAGGTAACTTCTTTCCTGTTCTCTGACGCCATAGATTGCCTTCACCAGTTTCTAGACTTTATGCAAATGGAATCATACTATATCCTTTTCTACTGAAATGTTTGTGATACTCATTTATTTGCCTGTGTGCATATTGATAATTATTTGTTTCAACGTTGTTTATATTCTGATACCTCATTATATTGCCAAGTATTTATCCATTCTCCTATTGCTCTATGAGTTTTCCAGTATGATGGGCTCCTAGGATTTTTTTACTTCTCTTTCTCTCATATATATATTTGTCTTTTTCGTTTGTTTGTTTTAGTGTTGGCAATTAAATCTATGGCCTCCTGGATGCATGTGTTTTACCATGGAGCTTCAACCCCAGCCTAATCATTAATTAATCTTGCTAAACAGTTTCTCAAAGCTGCTATGAGGCTACCATGGCTTTATGCACGGTAGTCTGCCCTGTGTCCTCCATGTTGTACCTTTATCTCATTTTTTTTTTCCTCATCCCATATTCACTCTGAGGGAGGCAGCCAATTTTTCCCTCACTTTTCTTTTCTTTTGGTGATACCAGGGATCAAACTCAGGACCTTACGCTAGCCTGGCAAGCACTTATTCCACTGAGCTATCTCCCCAGGCCCTCTCCCTCACTTTTCACTTTCACCTTTTCAAATAAACTTAGGAAAAAACAAAGAACAACAACAATAACAAACAACAAACCAAAGCTGTTGTGAGAGCTAGGTGTGAGAGTTCAGTTGCTTTTTTATTTTGATAGGTAAGTAGGGTGCTATGGAAGCACAAAAACTCCAGGACGGACTAACGACCCCCAGGAAGGAACAAGCAGGTGGATGGGGCCCCAGAGACAGGCAGGAAGGCAGCTCCCAAAGGAGGGAAAGTGTGAGCAGGCACACTCACTGCTGAAGGAAAACTCAGTGAAAATGAAAGGATGGATTGGTTACATCCATTGTTTCTCTAAATATCTCATCCAGAACTTTCTGAGAGATTTCAGTTTATGCTTGGCTTCTCATCAATATGTAGTCAGGTTTCCCAGGAGAGCAGAGGAGATGCTATCACGAACCCTTTCTTGACCAGTCTTGCCATAGTACCTTTTCCTCTGCGCTACTGTAAGTATTTAGGGGGCTGGGGAGAGATAGCTCAGTAGAATAAGTGCTTGCAAGGGCCTGAGTTCAATACCTGGTTCTGGAGGAAAGAAAGAGAGAAAGAAAGAAAGAAAGAAAGAAAGAAAGAAAGAAAGAAAGAAAGAAAGAAAGAAAGAAAGAAAGAAAAAAGTATTTAGTGTCCACAAGCTTAGTAGCTTCTGTTCTGGTTTGTTGTCTTTTGAGACAGGGTCTCACTGTACATTCCACAGTGGGCTTTAACTCATAATCTTCCTGACAGCCACCTCATGACGGGGATTGATTATAGGCGTGTGCCACCTACCCTGGCCTAGATGGCTTATTTTCTAGGTGAATGTTCCTATTTTTTTTTTTGACTCGTTAACATTTTGTCTTCCTTTGAGCTATACGTTTCTTGCTTAGAGATCTCGTTCCACTGAGCTTTGCTTCTTCCACGGCATATCCCTAGCTCCCTTTACAGCATAGGTACTATTTGGTGAATGACAAAAACATGGATATTATATGAGAAGTTGCAGCAGAGAGGCAAGCAGAGAGGCTGAGCTAAAAAGGGAGCATCCAGCATAAATAGGACGGGTAACATTTTCGCTTTTAAACATCCAACCTCCAAAGACTGACCCAGAAATAAAAGGGAGCTTCAGGTCTGACTCCTGGACTTTCCTGTCTTCTCAACTCCAGGACCTGTCTTCTTCCGGAATGGCTGCCCTCTGCTTTAGCTCTGCGGCCCGCCACTGAGACTCCCCCTTCCACATACCTCCTTTCTCCAAGGCTGAGGGGAAGCTGGAGCTCAGACACGGGGCCAGATGCTTCAGGGGTGTGAAGAACAGGAGAGGGGTCTGCACGACATCATCCTGAAGTCAGCAGAGGTGCCACGCCTACCCATCGCTGAGCCACAAAGTGACAGTTTTGTCTAAGAGCCGTTTTTTTTTTTTTTTTTTTCCAGGCCACACCCTCCCCGGAAGCTCCCTGGTCTCCTTCGGCTGACGATGCTTCTGATTGGCTGGAACCCTCACCGCTGGGCCCCTGTGCCCTAAAGGCTGGCCTACATTCCTAGTCTCTCACCTGGGCTCAAGGAGGAGAGACTGATGTGACCCCAAAGTCATTGACCAGACTCTTTCTGACCACGTGGAGGGTGACTCCAATAAGGCAACAGCTGATAAGTGATTATCGAAAACAGAATGGCTTCTGAGAAAGCAGGCTCCTTGCCACCCCCTTGTGTGGCTTTGCTTTCTAAGGGTGAAGGAAATTGTGGTCAACCACAGCCTGAAAATATTAATGGAAGACTACAGAAATAAACATAATTTCTTAATATAAAATGATTCCTAGGGCTGGCCAAATAGCTCAGCAGATTAAAGCACCTGCAAGCAGATGCAGGGACCTGGGATTCTATCCGTGGGCCTGCTGTACCGGCCCCGCCCTCGGGGCGAGCTGAGACCAATTGAGACTGGGCATGGTGGCCCGCGCCTGTAATCCCAGGACTTGGGAGGCTGTAAACAGGCGGGTCACTACGAGTCCGATCTAGTAGTGAGACCCTGAACACCCTGTCGACCCTTCCCTAAAACACAGGAAAAAAAAAAAAAAAAAAAGATTCCTTAGTTGCAATTTTGAGAAGTGCAAGGACTTAACACATGGCTCTAATCCATTCTCTCTGGGGCACGAATTGTCCCTTTGGCCAGTGTACCTTCCTGTATGCTACCTGCTCCACAGGAGATCAGAGACACAGGACACTTGAGACAGTACCGTATGCTGTTATAATCATTCTATTTTATTAACAAACTCAGTACTTGATTTCAGAGACGCTTTGTATGTTTTTTTGGGGTAATTATCCTATCTGAATAGTTAAGGACATAATTCGAACCAAATTTACTCCAATTATAATTTCAAATCCCATGTGGCTGCCTTGAACTTGGGGCAATTTCCCTGTCTCAGCCTCCTAAGTGCTGGGATCACAGGCATGCACCCACTCCAGTTTGCAGAAGTGTTTTAACAGGCAGATATATTTCCTAACAGCTTAAATCATATTTTGATTTTCTCACTGTTCTTATGTGTATCCCAACAATTCATATGTAGAACACATATGAGTTTTAATAGAACATCTAACTGAGCTGGGAGTGGTGGTGCATGCCTGTAATCCCAGCACTTGGGAGGCTGAGGCAGGAGGATCAATGTGAGTTCAAGACCAGTGTGAGCTACAAAATGAGCTCAAGGCCAGCCTGAACTGAATAATGAGACCCTGTCTTAAAAAGACAACAAAAAGACAGAAAGAACATCTAACTGAATGTTTGCAAATATTCTCGAATGAAGTGCAGCTTTGTATAGTAATTTAACAGTAAAATAGTTGTTTTAAGGGAGCAAAGAGGTTGGCTGGGGGAATTCTCTGGTGTTCATTGTGGAAATCAGTCTGGGAATCAAACAACATGTAAGCGAATAGTCCCCTCCAGGACAGCATCTGCTTAGTAAATGTCAGTGCTTTTTGGGTTAAACAGGCACCAGTGCTGGCTTAGCAGTATAAGGGACCGAAGCACCATTAGGGACCTTCGTCTCACAGAGAGGAACTCACAACTTTGAGATTAACCCTTGCTAACATTCAACTTTTCACTATCATTTTAACCACATGAAATGTTTAATAAGGGGAAATGGCAGCACTGATGCACCCTGGATCAATCTTTCTTTGAAATGAATGCCAAATCACAAGTCACTAAGTGAAAGGTATATTGTTTTGGAGATAAAGCACAACTTCCTTAGTCTAAAAAATACTCTATTTTACATTTAACATTTTCCCAACTTTCTTTTAATATTACTACAAAGCAAGCATTGAGCTAAAACATTATTTTCAGCTTTATAGCAGTCCTAAAAAGTCAGTGCTACTATTCCTGGCTTCATCTCAAAAATAAATCTCACAGACAGATATTTACTGGATCCAAATTACCAAATGGCTGAGTTCAAACTCAGACCTGTCCAACCAGGTGCTGAGAAAATTTATGCAATGAAGCCATTCATAAGGACTTTTAAAAAACTGTGACAATTGAACTCAACATCTGTGGTTCCTCACACTGTGGCATGAAGCTCTGTATCTGTGATTTCCAGTATATAGTCTAAATTTTTTAGGATAGCTATAAAGCTAGTCACTACACTATGAGCTCTAAGTGGTAATGAGGGTTTTGGACAGGATGTAAATGTTTTAAGATGCAGTTTTTGAGTAGAAAAGAAACATATGATAATGATTTATCAATCAAACTGATAAGAATGTAGAACAGTGATGGGGAACCTTCAAGAGCTTTTAATGATAGAAACACCCACTACTAGAGGCCTAGAGAATTCCTTCTGATTACATCTTATCACTGTAGTTAATTTGACTCACGAGTGGGACTGAGGAGAGCCCGCACAGGAAGCAAGCTTTCCTAAGCACCAAAATGTCAATTCACTTACACACTTTAATGAAGTTTTCTGGGTGTTTATATCATGCTTTATGTTTTCCTTAAATGCTTAATCTTGAAAACACGTGTGCATACATTACAAAGCATGGTGTATGAAGATAAAGCATCATTTCTTTCTTTCTTTCTTTCTTTCTTTCTTTTTTTTTGAGAGGAAGGTTTTTAATTACATGGAAAATTTCCTGTTCAGGGTGAGCTTCAGGCTAGACCAGGGAGCTACATCTGGAGTATCTCTGTGTAGGCAGAAAAGTTCCCTGAAACACTCTGGCTCTCGGAAGCAAGATAGATGGGCTCACAGCGCAGTGTCTACTTTAATCTCCGTGGTCTTAGCCCACAGCGTCATTTCTTTCTTTCGAGCCACTTCATTTTGGCCTCTGTTGAGCTAAGCCCTTCTCTGCAAAGACATACTACAATGAAGGGATAGGTCCTTCTGTTGCTTATCGCCAAGTCTTTATCAGGTATATTCTTAAGAAAGCTCCTTGGTTGGACGGGTGGCTCAGTGCTAAGAGTATGTGCTAAGGGTATGTGCAAAGAAGGTCTTGGGTTGGATCCCCAGCACCAAACAGCTAAGTTATGTCTCTCATTTCTTCACTTTTTTTTTTTGGTTGTTATTGTTTTTTTTTTATTTTTTATTTTTTTTCAACAAATAATACACTGCATATAGTCTTCTTAGTGGTTAATTGCTGTACAAGATGCGGACTTGTGATCCTATTTACAAACACCATTAGAACAAATCATTCTATTCATTAACAGAATGTAACTAT